AATGTGCATGAAATAGTGACGTCGTGTAAATAATAATGTGCATGAAATAGTGACGTTGTGTAAATAATAATGTGCATGAGTTAAATCGTGTTCAGATAAAACAGTTTTAACAGATGATTCGTCTCATTTCAAAAGGTCACATCCTTTATTCCAAAGTTCGTCGTGTTTTCGCCTCATCTCCTCCGACGTTCTTCTTCTCGAGACTCGGCGCAGAGGAGCCCTGCGGTCATGTCGGGACAGAGGCGAGGAGCTGCGGCGCGCCTGCCCAAATGTGCCTTCTGCAGAAGCAGCCGGGACAAGGAGTGCGGTCAGCTGCTGGTGTCTGACAGCCAGAAGGTGGCAGCCCATCACAAGTGCATGGTGAGAGGAGCTCCTTGTCCTCAGCCTCCCAGCAACTAGTTTATGGAAACGAGAGAAGCCACAGACATTGTACGTTTTAAACCAAGTTACTGTATTGAAGTGTAGTCGCACTCCGTGAGTCATGGAGCCACCACAGAGAGCTTTAAAGATGGCAGCTGCTGATCGTCTGCTTGTTCTGCAGCTGTTCTCTTCCGCTCTCGTCACGTCACACTCGGACAGCGACAGCATCGGAGGGTTTTGTGTCCAGGACGTCAAGAAGGAGATCAAGAGGGGAAACAAGTTGGTGAGTAGCCACCTCCATGACGGCGTGCGTACTCCGTGACGTCACGTGAACTCCTTAAATGATGTTTGTTCATCCAGTGATGTTGTTAAAGACGTGCACTGTGGCTGTCAAGTGACTGGATGACAAACAGACACATTCACTGCATTACATCACCGCTCACAGTTAGGGACAGGACTAAGGTGTGTACTGGTAAAGGTCAGGGTTAGGCTACAGAATTAACTGGAAATGAATAGACATGGTCCTATTAAGGATAGAAATACAGATGTGCGTGAGTGTGTGTGCGCGCGCGCGCATGTGTGTGTGTGTGTGTGTGTGTGTGTGAGCAGTTGAGAAAGTATTTTCTATTTTTAATTTATTTGAATAGTGAAGTCTGACTCACAGCATTGTTGTTATTATGGACTGGTGCTGCTGCCCTTGGGTCAAAATGACCCTTGAGGCCTGGTGGGTCATTTTCAAGGATTCAAGGTTCTTCATTTGTCATTTGCACCTCATGTAGTTCATGTGGTGGAACAAAATTATGTACACAGGGTCCCAGTTACATCCAACAATAAAATGTAAACTGAAAACATTAATAAGATCTAAGATGTGAACTAAGAACCCAAGGGCAGCAGCAGGCGGACCACCTGTATGTGTAAGTACAGCGAGCGTTGCCGTGCATGTTGTCAGTGTCCCTGCATCACAGATCCTAAAGGTAACGTTCCACTTCTTGAAGTGAAGAAGCTCCTGGGATGAGAATCAAAATGTCTTTGTCTCCAGAGACAGTCCAGATGTTTTTATAACTGTTCGGACTGATCTGCATCATCCATAACCTTTCTCTGGACGCGCCCATAACTTCTGGTCCTCTCAAGATCATTTAACGACACTTCATGTGCATCATCACTAGCAGCAGTGTCACGCACACGTTTCATCACTCCAGCTTCAAGGTCACAAATCAAGGTCATACAAGGAGTTTGCTATGGGCTGCTGTAGAGCAGCTTGCTGACAGGCGTATAATGTAACTCTACTCTAAGCCTCACGACAGTTTGATTTTAATATAAAGTGCTTTGAGAAATTTCCTTCATACATGTGGTACATTTTCTGTTCAGCTCAATATATTACTTTAATTTATAGATACATTAAAAACTGTACATAGACTTGGTGTTTGCATGTTAGTGGTGTTTGTTTAAACCAGGGGTCCCCAAACTTTTTCCTGTGAGGGCCACATAACTTTTCCCTTCTCTGGTGGAGGGCCGGAGTCAGTTTGTAACAGAAAAAGTGTGACGATTGCAGGAGTGCCTAAATGTAAAAATTTATTGTTTTCCAGAAAGCACAATCAAATAACCCTTTCTGGATTCTTCACAGAACAAAATTCAGGAAGTAAATAACACTATTTATGAAATAAACAATAACCAAATAACCCTCTCTGGGTTCTTCACATAACAAAATTCAGGAAGTTTATGAAATAAATAATAACCAAATAACCCTCTCTGGGGTATTGACAGAGAGGGTTATTATGATTATATTTTTTATAGTCAGAATGACTCATTCAAGTCAGAAAAGTGAGCTTACCTTTGTATGTTCATCAGTGTGAACTGTGGGCCTGTATCTGGCTGGTGAGAAGTTGAATATCAGGTTCCATTCTAGTCACTGCCAGTCTCAAACACTGATGCAGGTGTTCATCTGTCAATCTTGATCTCATTGGAGTTTTCAGCAGTTTCATGCGTGAAAAGGTTTGCTCGCAAATATATGTGCTGCCAAAAAGTGTGGACATCTTCCTTGCGTGTTTTCTGATGTTAGGGTACGTGTCGTTTGGGAGGGCGGCATAGAAGTCAATGAGACCGCTGGGCTTGAACGCGTCTTTCAGAACATCACAGTTCTGTAACTCGGCCAACTCAAACTGATAAGAAGGCTGGGCTTCGTCAATGTCGGCAACAAAGGGGTTCTGGAAAAGACGGATTTCTTTTGCATAAACATGTAGTTCACGAAATCGCGCACCGAACTCCGCCTTCAGCATTTCCAGTGCTTCCACACACTTTTCAGCTGGAAACGGGACCGCTGGGTTCTCTGCAGAGAGGTTTTGTGTAGCAGGGAGATGGACGAAGCTGTGCTTTTTCACGTGTCCCAAAAGCAGCTCTAGTTTCACCTCAAATGCTTTTATGTGGGAATACATTTCGCAAATGAGTTTCCCTTGGCCTTGTAGCTGCAAGTTAAAGCTGTTCAGCATTTCTGTCATGTCTGTTAAAAATGCGAGGTGCTATTTCCATTCTGGGTCGATCAACTCTGGCACCGTTTTGTTTTGTGAATGAAGAAATGCGTTAATTTGAGGTAGCAGCTCGTAAAAACGCTTCAAAACTCTGCCCCGGCTCAACCATCGGACCTCTGTGTAGTACAGCACATCGCCGTGCGCAGATTCCAGTTCAGCCAGGAATTCTTGGAACTGCCTGTGTTTAAGTCCCTTTGCTCTGATGAAGTTTATGCATGACACCACAACCTTCATGGCAGAATCCCAAGCCAACACTTTGCAGCACAGTGCTTGCTGGTGAATTAGGCAGTGGACTTGTAGCGGGGCGGTGAGACCTCGTTCTTCCATCTCCCGGTTCATGCGTCCTATTAGACCCCGAGACATGCCCACCATATTAGGAGCCCCGTCAGTTGTGATGCTGGCCAGCTTTGACCAGTCCAGGTCCAACTCTTCCATGGTTTGGTACACTTTGCCGAAAATATCCTCCCCCGTCGTAGTCCCTTTGAGACTTTGGAGGGCTGCCAGCTCCTCGCAGATCTCAAAGTTTGCACTAACTCCACGAACAAAAATGAGCAGTTGCGCGGTGTCCTGCACGTCCGTGCTCTCATCCAGTGCTAATGAAAAAAATTCAAATTCTTTCGTCTTCTGCTGCAGCTGGGCATATACATTACCCCCGATTTCTTCAATCCGTCTGGTGATTGTACTCGCTGATAGACTCACGGCATTAAAGACATCTTTCTTCTCAGGACACACCTCCTCCGTGACAGCGTTCATGCATTTCTTGACAAACTCTCCATCAGTGAAAGGTTTACCGCTGCTTGCTATCAGTTGAGCAACCCGAAAGCTGGCCCGAACAGATGACTGGTTCAGCTGAGCTTGGTGTACAAATGTATTCTGCTGAGCTAACAGTCCACTTTTTAGCTTTGAGAGTTTGTTTGCTTGCATTTGGCCTTGCAAGCTAGCATACGTGTCTTTGTGGCGGGATTCATAGTGTCGCCGCAGATTATATTCTTTGAATACTGCCACCGCCTCTTGACAGATGAGACAGACAGCCTTTTCTTTGCATTGAACAAAAAAAATAATCGTTTGTCCACTGCAGGTTAAATGCCCTGCATTCTGAATCAATTTTTCTCTTACCTAATCTTTTCGCCATTATTCCGTTCTCTCTTTGCGAGGGGCGGGTTTGGAATTTTTTTTCTGGGGGTTGCCAGATAGGGGCACAGACCACAGAAGGGTGGAACAGAATGTTACGTTATATGCGTGTATGAAATAGTTACTAACTTATGTATTATAGTATTATATTACTTAATAATGAAAATAGTTCATAACTAAGAAACATTTTATTGCAAAAGTCCAACTTTATTATCAAATACAAATACAAATATATGAAAAAAAATCTAAATGCTCTCTGGTATTGTTCAGGGGGCCGGACCAAATGTGGACGGGGGCCGGATCTGGCCCGCGGGCCGTAGTTTGGGGACCACTGGTTTAAACATTTTAAGTTTTGTTAGACCCGACCTTTATGATCAGTAGTTGAGATTTGTCTTTTTCCTTTAAGTTGTTCCAACCTGGATATTTGCAGCTGACCTGTTGTCTTTGGAGATAAATGATCTATCAAGTCCACGTGACACTTTCTGAGCATGGATGTAATCAAACTTGTTGCTTGAAGCTGCGTCTCTGTCCTCAGATGTGCTCGTCATGTCACCAGCCGGGTGCGACCATCGGCTGTGACGTCAAGACGTGCCGGAGGACGTATCACTATTACTGCGCTGTGAAGGACAAAGCCCAGGTCAAAGAGGATCCTCCGCAGGGGATTTATCTGTGAGTACCTCTGCTCAGCAGCGTTCTGCAAACAAACCGCTTTTACAGAGTTCCCAGCAGCTGGAAATCAAGGAATGAAGAATGATGTTCACCTGTTCCACACAGGGAAAACTGTAAACACTGATCTGCTGATTGATCAGGATCGTTCTCAGATTTTAACCTGTTCATGGATTAATGCTGCTATTTAAGTTTGTTTGAGTCCATATTTTGACATGGCAACCCAATTCTCAAAAATAAACTTTTTTACATTTACAGACCCTTAACAACAAATTACAACACTGTGGACACATCAGCCCAAATGTTGCAGGGCATCGGGGCGGGCGATACGGCTCTAATATAATATCGTGATATTTCAGAGCATTCTGACGATAACGATAAATTTTGCGATATAACCCCCCCCCCCCCCCCCCACACACACACACACACACACACACACAGAAATTATAGTTATTTATTTGACAAAATTAACATGTTGCTTTGCAGTATTACATAAAATAAAAAAACAAGGGGTAATTTTACTGAAATTACTTAATTTAATAAAATATTAAGTCTCCAAGTATAAAAATTAAAATGATCCTTCTGTTATTTAGACTGAAAAAGTCTGCACAAAATATAGATCAATAAATCCACCACAAAAACTAAAGTGCAGGTGAAGTTTCCCAAAATAACAACAAAGTCCATGCTCATGGACCCATGTTTCCCAAAATAACTAAATAAAATTAAAGCTTTAATATCCGTTAAGCATAAATGTAACAAACAACAAATATATGTTTCTTTAAATGAGCTGTAACTTCCAGAAGTTGTAACAAGGTGATCATGTGACTCTGAAGCTTGTGGAGTTTCCTCTGTTCCTGCAGGAATGATTCATTTCTCTGATGCTCTGTCTCTGATCACATGACTCTGTCTCTGATCACATGACTCTGTC